CCTTAAAGCAAAGGTAATTAATATTCAGTGGTAGAAATAGTCATGTCATAACATTTTGATGAGTTTGAGAGCTGTGCACATATCAGCCCCGTTCGTTTGTTGAAGCCCTAACCCGCCCTCCCCCTCTCCCCCCGCCCCCTATGTGCTAAATTCTGAGACGGGGCCTTTACAGAAGTAACGTGGTTAAATGAGGTCGTGAGGGGGTCCCTGATCTGGTGAGATTAGCGTCCTGGGGAGGGGAGAGGCTAGAGAGCTTGGTTTCTCCCTCTGGGCGCGGAGCGGTAGACCCGGTGCGGAGGTGGCGAGGAGCGGCAGGGAGAGAGCCCTCACCAGGCGGCCAGTCTGCTGGCACCTTGACCTTGCACTTCCCAGTCTCCAGAACTGTGAGAAGTAACTTTTTGTTGTTTAAACCCTTCGTTATTTTGATACAACAGCTAAGACCAGTTGTGTAAACTTTCGTAAGTATTGCACAAAAAGATACACTAATGCGCAGAAGTGCACTTGCCTTGCAGACCGACTTCCATGGCCTGTTATATTTTAGCATCTCCTTTTTCATTAGTCAGCCACCTATTTTCTCAACTTGTACTTAGCTCTTGAGTTGATTTTTGTCTTCAGCACCAACAGCTCCCTCAGTCGTGAATGTGGAAAGTGCTGGTAAGAAGGAGGCCTGCGATTAGGGTGTGGATGGCGATTTTGAAAAAAGGGTAGAAATAGGTCAGAGGTGCACATGGAACATGCAGATTCCGTGAGAGCCACGACTGTGGCAGAAAATACATCGTGCAACATGGGACGTGCGCTATGGCAATTAGCACGACAGGAAGAGAAACGACTGTGACACTAGAGAGATGGAAGGGGTGACCTCAGCACTAATGGGGGCTGAACGTTAGAGTATTTCTTCAGAGCTGAGGCGCCTTTTTTCCTCTTGACATGTCTGAGGCTGGGATATTTTACAGCTGATTGCTGCTGTCGGCCAGATGGCAGGCATGACGTGCACGTCATCTCCTGGGCATGTGCAAGCAGCAAAAGAGCAGCATCAGACTGGTGGGGTGGGAGTCCAGCAGCTCAGCAGGAGACCCTGCGGTCAAACACGAAGCGCTCTTTGAACCTTTCTGCATCCAAGTAGCTGTGCACAGGCAGGGGCTCGGGAAGCGTAGGTGAGGCTTGTTCCTCACATTCCCGAGGCGTGAGCCAGAAGTAAGCCGACTGGAGATCATCGCAAAGCTGATTTAAGAACTTCGCACCCCAGGCTTTTGAAGCTCGTCGTTCTTTTGTGGGTTATTTAAGATTTGCTGCATCACCAGTGCTCCCACGGAACACGGGCTACTATTGTGTGGAAAAGCGTGCGCGTGAATGGCTCAGAGCTGACAACTGACGGGAGCCAGTGGATTCTAAATGTGAAACAGGTTTGGAAAACCTTGGCCAATACACTTGCGCTTGTGTTTTCCTTTTTAAATACACATGATAGTGATAGATGATAAAGGTCTAAGTCTAAAGGAGCTCTGTCAAAAAGAATAAGATAAAATTTTATATTAGTAAGAAAGCATTGTACATAGTTTAAGTGGCAGACTTTTGCCCCTTGGAGGTTAATCAAACCATAGCGCAGCTCATAAAGGGCTCCCAGATTGATGAAATACAGTGGCCCTCTGTTGTAATGGGGAAGCAGGCAGTCTGTCGAGACCCCGAAAGGCTCTGTGTGTGAGGGGGCTACAGATGTCACAGTATTAAGGCCCCTCTGAGCCTGTTCGTCCTGGGAGGGCGAGGTGAGGTGGCCGCTGCTGACGGCAAAGCCGTGGAGGGGCCCCGGGCCACCCCGCAGACACCTGTCTCGGCAGGTCTTCCGCTGCAGCCGCCCGTGCAGTGCGCCCGGGTGTGAGGCCCCGATGAAGCAGGGCCAAGGAGCCCCATCGTTCTCCGGGTTGGAGGCAAACGAGCGTCTGAACTCTGCACGTTCACTCCTCCTAGTCACTGGCCTTGAAGAAACGTACTTGGGAATGACCTTGGCATCCCAACGCGTTTGTTAATAAGTCATGTGTGTCATGTATCTGCGTTTACACACACACATGCTCATTTATATACCGTCATCCTCAGTGTCTGGGGGGGACTGGTTCCAAGACCCCCGCGGAGGCTCCAGTCCTTACACAAAACAACGCAGGACCACGTGTACGGTGAGCATCTGTGGATACCGAGGGCTGGCTGTGTACATGTGTGTCTTATACAGAGAGCTGTGTGCCATGACACGGTGCACAGGTGCTCTCACACTCAGACACACACGTTGTTTGATCGCCTGCTTTTTACAGGTGGTCCACCCCTCTCTGGGTCCCTCCATGTTCTCCACAGCACCACGCACTGTAGGCGGCAGCACAGAATTCTCTGGCATGGATTTACACTGGTTTATCTAATCACTCGTGTTGTTAAGTGATTGCTTCTGGCTACTTGTCATAAAATACTGTGAGGAGCCCTCCGTGGCCAGGCTGTGCGCAGCTGTTCACTGTTGTTGAGCTGGACCCGCATGGGGCCTCGTTGATTCGGCTCCGTGTGGTCTGGGAGCAGCCAGACCACAAGCCTTTTGTTGCCCCCTTCCTGCTTTTTGGAAGTGTGTGTATGGTGGGTTAAAGGACCCACGGAAGGGTTCGGATGGGGGTATGGGTGTGACATTGAGCTCAGGCTTTAGAGCCACCCAGTCCTGGCCGATAACCCTGGGCGAGGTGACTTAACCTCTCCGGGCCTAGTGTCCTTGCTGGTGAACTGAGTCTGTGGCACATGCTTTGTAGGTTGGGGGGGGGTAGTAATGTTGGGCACATCAAATGTGTGGTGCGTAGTGACCGCTAAGTCAGTGCCAGTCCAGCCTGGGAGGTAGGGGTGAGATAGGAACTTCATGCTGATGCAGTCCTCGAGTTCTGCGAGGTGGTGGAACATATATAATAGCTACTTGTTTTGTTTTGTTTTCAATCCTCGCCCAAGAACTTGTTCCCACTGATTTTTAGAGAGAGAGAGAAACATTGATTGGTTGTCTCCCGTATATGCCCCAACCAGGGATCCAGCCCAGGCATGTGCCCTGACCAGGAATCGAACCCGTTACTTTTTGGTGTACAGGGCAGTGCTCCAACTAACTGAGCCATGCAGCCAGGATGCTGCTGCTCTCTATTGACTTTTTTATGCCTCTGTTCCTTAATGTTCATGGGTGGCCCAAAACAGACAAGGACGAGGTAGAAGCCCTGTGGGCACAGCTGGCTTCACGGGGTGTGTGACTTGTACAGTTACCCAGGGCCCTGCACTTAGCTTAATTCTCTGCTGCCACTGTCTTAAAATTCTTAGTTTTCAACGGAGGCTCCACGTTTTCATTTTGCACTGGGCCCCACAAATCGTGTAGCCAGAAATGTTGTTGGGAGGGTGAAATGAGAGCTCCCAAAGCACTTGGCATGGTAGTCAGGATGTAATAGGACTCCATGGTTATTAAATGGATATAATTATTTTCTTATGAACAGAAACAACTAGGATAAGTGCATTATAGACATTACTAAAATTGTGTGAGATAAATACATAGTTAATTCTATCATATAGATTAAAAAAAATAACTGAAGCCTGAGAAGTTAAGTAACCACCTAAAGTCACACAGCTTATAAATTATAAATGCAGGGCTTGGATTCAAATCTCAGTCCCTCCCACCCAAAGCCCACGCCATTGACCTGCGCTATTAAATATGAGTTCCCTTCCTTCCCTCCTATAAAACCCAGTATTCGAGTGTCCCTGATCCCCATCAGCAGCCAAGCCTCGTTCCTGGCAGAAGTTTCAGAGCCCCTCAGAGAGGGCCCAGAATTCCCAGCGGCCCCGGACCCTGCTGGGGCTGCAGCAGACAGTGAGGGCGGTTCCCTTCTCACCCCCAGGCCTGTCCCCTGTCACATTCCCAAGCCTGCTCAAAATCACTGGGTCTGAGTTCCTTTCTCTGGCCATTCTGACCAGCCTGGTGACAATTCAGCTAGCTTTCTTTTATTCCTGGTACCTTAGCTTCTAATGGCTAATGCCCACCAAATACCCCCTAAACCACTGCGGGAATTGGTGGGAGAGCTGCCCATGTCAGGTCCTGGGAAAGAGACTGTGGGAGGTGCCTATTTCCAGTAGACCGAGGACATGGCCATCTGTCCTGTGGCAGGGATCCCTTGCTTTCCTGCAGTGCCAGGCCGTGATTTGCTCTGCCCACTCTTTTCCCTGCCAAAAAGAGAGAGAAGAGTCACTTCACCCCGATGCTGCTAACGGCATACTGCTTAGTTTGGGGAAACGCAGATTTGCTTATGCTGTGCGGCCTCTGAGCAGGGACGTTAGCATGCGAGCATTTCATCTTTTGGGTAGCTGGAGCTGAATTTTCAACGTGACAATGAGACTGTTTGTTGTTTCAAAGCAATTCCCTAAGTGGCTGTTTGCTCAATACTTTTTGTTGTGTGAACAGGGATTTGGGGGAGGGGAAGAAGCCATCTGCTCTGGAAAAGTCTTCCAATTACATGATCAAATTACCGCAAAGCAAAATGGAGGGCGTCCAGCAGAAAGTTCTGTCTGCTGTATCCATCCCCAGCCTGCGCTCTCAGCCCATTGTGTCGACGTGGAGACTCGCAGGTTCCAGCGATGAGGCTGTGGTAACTAAGAGTGTGAGCAGGAGCACAGCCGAGTGAGCCAGGCGGAGAGAGTCAGGAAAGTGAAACCCTCCTGGGTCTGAATGAAGAAACTGACCATGGAAGAAACGCAGTCCCTTTTCCTGAGGACTTGGCAATACTTGCTTTCGATTACAGTTAATTTTTCATATTGAATGAAAAAGTGACCCTCTGTCAGTTAACTGGGTGATTTTTATTTGCATTGAGTCTTAAATCTACTTCTTTTCCTTAACCTATGAGAAAGAATTTTGTGTTGTTGTTGTTGAATTATAGTCTGTTGCAATTTGCAAAACATCCTTGAGTCTTATTTTTTTCTTCTAAATCTGTATGTGGGTTTTTTTTTCTTTTTGCTATTAGGCATTCATGCAGCCTCACTTGCTGGGAAATGAATTCACACATTTGGAGTTTCCAAGGAGAGTGCAGAGGAAGGAACTTGGAAAGAAGATGCTCTACAGGGACTTTAATATGACAGGCTGGTAAGAACATGCCTCCCTCCGCCCTGCTGCCAGGTGTGCGTGAAGGAAGTGTCACCCCGTGACAAGCCATTGCACAGTTTGGACCAGGAGGTGCACCTGCAGCCTGGGGGTGTGGTCCGGGGACAGGGGGGCCGCCACCTCTGCTCTTTGTGCCTGGCTGTGCACGCTTTTCAAGTCCCAGACGGGGGCCGGTAGCCTGTCTGTTTCTCTGAGGTTCTTTGGGGGACACTGGAGCCCACAAAGCTCATATGGTTCCTCACTTTACACAGAGCAAGTGTTTGGAAAGATTTTAAAACACATTAAACTTGGTTTTTTAGGTCAGGGGCTTGAAGGGATTGACCAGTGGTTTTACTGGTTCTGGCTTGAACTCTAAATCTGACCTTTCTACATGGACAAAGTTGCATAAACTACTTTACCCCCATGTGCTCAGTTTTCCATGGATATAGTGAAAAATATATATATATTCTTTGCAAGGCCCTCGTACGGACTAGAAGTATTGAGCTGTCCTCATTATTTCATCACACTCAGAGGGAGATAAGAAATCTCAGCAGGAGGCGTCTTACTCCCAACACACACCTGCCCAAGCACAAGACCATTTATTTCTCTTGTGGATCAGTAGCTCATGGTGACCAAGAGCCTCATCTGTTTCTAACGCCTGAAAAATAAATATGAAGATAAAGCACCTGTACATACTAGGGTCGGGGTAAGGATTAAAAAGAGAGAGTTGTGCTGGGCACATAGACGGCGATATTTTGCCCTGAGGCCCGTGGTCCTGCCCTGATAGCCAGAGAATGAGACAGGGGCCTCCTCCTCCTTCACGGCTCTCACACAGGCAAAGAAGTAGATTCCATTATTTCTTCCTCATTGACCAAAATAGCTATAACAGATGGTTATAGCCCAGATTCCCATGGTGATGACTTCCAGGCTAGGAATCTTCTGCGGTACATACTATCTTAAAGGAGCAGTTGAGCTACCTAGGGAGGATAAGGGGCTGGTCTAAGGCACTTCCAGTTGTCCTTTGCCATGCAAAAGAAGAAACCCACCGGTGTCCACTCTTCTACGAGGCTGACAGACCGTGGCCCACAAAGCCAAATTTTACCTGCCGCCCCTTTCTATTAACAAAAATTGGATGCAGCCCTATTTCTTTGTATTTGATCTTTAGCTACCTTCACACCACATCAGGGCAGCTGAGTGGTTACAGCAGCTACCACGTGACTCACAAAGTCTAACATATTTATTCCTAAAACATGAATGCATTGTGTTAATCAGAAAAATCCCACTAGTTTTCATCTCTCAGTTTGGGAGTTTTATGGTATCCGACTGTTTAATCAGGAGCCCTGACCTCTTTTCCCTTAGATTGTCAAATTAAAAGATGACAGCAGCCAGCACAACAATCGCTGTCTGGTGTGAATCAATCAAAATTATACTTTTTTTTTAAGTTTTTTATTTGTTTAAAGATTTTATTCATTTTAGAGGGGAAGGGAAGGAGATAGGGAAAGAAATACCAATGTATGGTTGCCTCGTGTGTCCTCTGCTTGGGAACTGGCCTGCAACCCAGGCATGTGCCCTGACTGGGAATCGAACCGCCATACTCTGGTTCGCAGGCCTGCGCTCAATCCACTGAGCTACACCAGCCAGGGGAAAATTATACTTTTTTGGGGGGTCAGATCAGCAAAAAATATATTATTTGGTGTGCCACAGAATTTTAGTAATTAGTTGGTGTGTGCCAGGAGGTGAAAAAGGTTGAAAATCGCTGCCCTAACCCAACTGGGTGTTCCATGTAAATTTGTTTATATTCATTCAGCAAAATCAGCACTCTTACAGAAAGGTGTAAGGTAAGGGCTACTCTAGTTTGGAAAAGCGTGGTGTGGTTTGGTGTGGAGTTTGCAGGATTTGGAATGATGGAAAGAACGGCATCCAGGACGAGAACCATGTGCTTGTAAACACATCCACAAAACAGTTGATCTGAGAGGCAGCGAGCAAAATGGCCGCCAAGAAGGGGAGCACCTGGGAAATCAGGCTGACTTGGTGTTGAAGGGACATCGTCAAGCGTAAGGGAAGCCAGGCGGGGACACTCAGATTTACCACCGGAAGTGGTAGGCTGTTCTTGTGTGTTTCTGAGGTGGAGAATGAATGATGAAAGCAGTGTTCTAGGCAGGTGGTTCTGCAGGGGTGTCAAGGAGACTGACTAGGAGACAAAGTGATGCAGGTGCCCAGGGGAAAAATCATAGAAATACATGGGTGAGGTCTCTAGGGCCAAATAGAGGGACGGAAGCAGAAAACAGAGAGGGAAAGGAAATGAGCAAGAAAATAGGTTACATAGGCCACAGGATAGATGTGAGAGGTAAATCATTCGTTGTGTCACTTGTCTGTTTAAACAGGTCTCTTCAGGTAGTCGTTAAGCCCCTGGAGTGGGAGCCCACGCCTAGTCCTGTGCCTGACACATGGTAGACCGGAAGCTGCTGTTGGGTGAAAGGAAGAAGAGGGTGTAATTGGCAGAGTTGAAGGGTAGGAACAAGGAGCTTGCATGTGAGACAGGCCGAGCGTGAGGCGGGGCTGTCTGTGTGTTCCTTCTATGCCAGAAACACAAGTGAGGTCTGAGGAGTCAAGACTGACTTGGTAAACAAAGGGCAAAAGGTGCCTCCGTTTCATAATTCCTTTAAACGTAGCTAAATTCCAGGACTAGATTATATCCAAGCCTTTATGCTCTCTTTCTTTTACACACGCACACACGCACAGAGTGCCAGCGTGGTCCTGAGTAAGCCAGCCGTCCGTAAGCGGCTGCGTTTCATGTGTGGAACTCCACGTGGAACCGGTGAGGAGCCAGGACCGAGAACGGCTCTCTCGGCCGTGATTTGCTGATTCGTTTCAGCACAGTTCCCTGTGTGGCTTTGCCTCCCGGCTTGGGCCCTGAGCAGAGATTTACATATGCCTTTGCATTATTTTTTATTTGAAAATGATGTTTATTTGTTTATCATTGTTCTGTTACAGTTGTCCCAATTCTCCCATTGCTCTCCCCTGCCCTGCTCCTGCTCCCCCCCCCCACAGTCAGTCCCCACCCTGTTGTCCATGGGTCGTTCATACATGTTCTTTACCCAGGCCCTTCCCCTGCTCTCTTCCCTTATGCCCCCCTCTCTGGTCCCTGTCAGTCTGTTCCTTGTTTCCATGCCTCTGTGAAAATGATAAGTAAAGGGGAGCTTTTTACATCTTTGTAGGAAGAAGTTGGGAAGTTTAAAATCAATTTAGAGCAGTGCTTACATGGTCTCCCTCCCCCAACATTAAGGAATTCTTTGAAAATGTTTTTAACCTTTAAAGAAAACTTGGGATCTAGCAGGTATTTTTCAGGACTTATAAAACATGGGACTTGCATTTGCTGCCTTCCTAAGCTGGCCATTCCATGGGCAAGGAGATGAGGATGGGCAGCCTTTTACCCAGGGGAAGCCTTAAGTTAGAGCTGACCCTGGAACAGCATGGGTTGGAACCACACAGATGCACGCAGATGCAGATCTCAGTGAATGTTCAGTCAGCCCCCTTTATCCCAGGGTGTCTCCTGCACAAATTCGAGTCAGCGTGGATTGAAAACAGATTTGCAGGTGGGAGTCCGCAGATGCCGAGGGCTGGCTTGCGTGCGTTGTTCTACACCCTTTGTGTGAGGGACCCGAGCGCGGCAGGTGTCGGTGTCCACGGGGAGTCAGAAGTTACGGGCGGATTTTTCACTGCGCAGAGGTTGGCACCCTAAACCCCACGTCGTTCAAGGGTCAGTGGTGAGTGTTTGGGACGCGTCAGGCTCCGGGACGCAGAGAAGCCCTTGCCTGGTGCCACTGTGTTTCTCGGCTTCAGAATTCGGCTCGGCCCCTGAACTTGATTTCTCTGAACTCTTTCTGACGAGTAAAGTTTTCACCTGTTGCAAACTGTTTAATCCTTGCAGCAAATAGCCCAGTGGTGGAAATTCCCATCTCCCCCGTGTCCCCCTACAAATCATGGCAGCAACGGGGTCCCTGCGAGTTACTGGGAAAGTTCAAGGACAGGCACTGGAATGAGAACCTGATGTGATTTCTCATACTTAACAATCCTGTGAGCTGGATGCCTTTCACAGACGAGGAAACAGAGGCACAGAGCGGAAGTTGCCCGAGGTTGCACACTAGTAGAGCAGCAGGGACGCAGGCCCGGGTAGCGCCATTTCAGAGGGTACATTGCTTACTCCTGTGCTGAGCTCCCAGGCGCTGATGGCTGCTCCTCCTCGTTCTCGGTTCTCACTTGACCCCATGGGGGCTCAGGGGCATTAGGCACTTTTCTCAGCTTCCACCAATGCAAACATGTCAGAATAAGGAATAGAACCAAGGATGCTGACTCCGGTTCAGGGCTCTTTCTGATACAGTGCACCAGCCAACTTCTCTTCAAGGTAAGATCAGACACCATTATCCTGTTTTGAGCTGAGACATAAATTGAAGCAGGGGACCTCTATCTACCAGGATTAGTGTCTCCTTGAGTCCTTTAGGATTCATCTAGAGGGTGAAACGAAGCATTTGAGGAGTAGTACGTTAGATACTCAGGCAATTACTTTTCTAGTTCTCACTCCGACCCAGTGGATGTCAGCCACATTGAACCATGGTGCCTCACACTCCTCACGTGTGTGGAATTTGGGGTGTGCTGGTGGCGAAGATCCCCAAAGAACCAGACCTCCGACGCTTAGGGACATTGCCCGCTGTCCGTGGGGAGTGTCCTGCCAGCCTTCTGTGATGTGTCTGCCCCGGGGAGGAAGGGTGGGAGAGGACGTCAGCCTTGGAAAGCCTTGTCTCATAATTACGGATGAGTCTGTTGCCTCCTGGTGGGGATTCTTTCTCTCCCACCCTGTGCTTTCTCAGAGACTGTGGAGCAGCTTGGCAGGCCCAGATTGTATAGAGGACAAAAGGTTATTGTCACCAGGACCTTCGTACTGAAATCAGTCTCTTCCCTGGCTCCCCCACCTCCCTGTCGGCCTGTCCTCAGATAGATTGCCC